GAATGAGGTTTACCTGGCAAAATAATTTTTTTCAAGTTGGAAAACTGCCAAATAAATGGAGCTTTGCTATGGGTTTTCTACATGCCCTTCTGATTTTATAACTCCTTGAAAAATGTTGAGGTTCAACATGTCCAACATGGACTAAGATTTATAACAATCATTTTCATAAGTGTAAGACCTGCTTAAATTGCACTCAAAGTACCTCTGTCAAGATCAGTCCTTATATTGATCTCTTCATGTTTATTAATTACAAGAAAACTGTAATTTCCATTTGATGGACTGTCCATAAAGTAATCAAAGGACTTAGTCAGTTCAATGCTCCTTGCTTATCAGTTAAACTCATTGGGCAGGCATTCAAAGATGGCTCCTGCCTCAATTGTTCTTTGCTTCTTTGGGGTAGGAGCTATCTTTTGCTGCCCTGTGTATGTACAGTGCCTGATGGGATAAAATCCTGGTTTATGAGAAGTTCCTAGCCCTTGTCCTCCATCACACTAGTGGTTGCATCCCTCCGTCCTTAGATGCCCATCCCTGCTCTAGGTGGGATCCCAGAAACTTCTTAATCTTGCCCCGCTCAGAGCCACCATGGAGATCTGAAGGGAGACTAATGTTTGGTTTGCAGTCCTGTTAAAAATAAATAAATAAATAAATAAAAAATTCCCAGGCTGTCTATTCATCTGGTAAAGAATTTCCCTCTGTGTATTTGGTGATTCCCTAAAGTTACGCCCATGAGTTCGTTTATCATAAAAGTATATAAAGCGTTTCTTGATCTCCCAGGTTTTCTAAGATTATTTCTTTTTTGAGGAGGAGTTTTGGTGTATAAATTTAAGAGTTTTTCTGGGTAACTGTCCATACCCTGAGCTGCTATTGCCATGGTCTTCCCTTCACAGTATGTCCTGAAGCCATCTTTTCAAATATTCCCCATGGCTCTTGGATGCATCTTTTTGCAGGGAAAGCAAAGGCCCATGATGTGGGCAGGTAGCAGCAGCAGTCCAGCAATGTCAATAGTAACTATAGCTGAGCACAGATTGGATCTTAGTAGCTGTGAGCAGCCTCTTGTCAAGGGAATGGGGGCATAGGAAGACACTTGGAAAAGAACTGTAGAAGCCTGGAACTGTCAAGGGGGATCAGAAGCGACCTGCAGAAGCAAAATTAAAGCCAAGACAGACAGCGCAAGAGCCAAGAGAACTCTTTTGCTGGGAGGTAAGGGTGAAAGGTAAGATGGAAAAGATATACTCTGCAGTGTTTGAAATTGGGTGGCTAAAGTTCTTCTTTTCTTCATAACTGGCTTCATTTTTCAGGGGCACTAAGGAATAGTGCCATCAACAGAAGATGCAAGTGCTCATCCAGCCATTTATTTA